GAGGAGGAGGAGGAGGAGGAGGATGAGGAGGAGGAGGTTTTTTGGCAGATGTGGCCACAGCAGTCCCGGCTCTCGGGGTTCCTTTGGTTGCTCCGGAGTCTCAGTTACCGAAATCTTTTCCCAAACACGTTTGGAAAGAGCCGGAGCCGCTGCCCTGGGGATTCCAGCACGGCTTTCTGGTGAGATGGGGCAGTTCAGGTGATGTGGGACAGTTCAGGTGGGATGGGGCAGTTCAGGTGAGGTGGAGCTCAGAGATGTCCCCAGATGTGCTCGAGGTGAGGCAGGAGACAGAAATGAGGATCCAGGGAATGGCACAATTCCCTGGGGCAAGGATGAAGCCTGGCACCCACCGAAACCTCTCCCTGCCCTCAGCAGCCCCCAGACCCACCCCAAACCTGGGCCCTGAGATGCCCCAGCAGCCCCAAATGTGGTGTCTGAGAGAAGTTGTGCTGCAAACCCGGGTAAAACGGGGGGATTTCAGGAAACAGGTCCCTGTTCACACTGGAATTCGATCTGATAAAGCTGCACAGGGAAACAATGAGAATGAAGGGAGGTTTTTAAGGGAGGAAGCTGCAGCCCCCCTCTCCTTTGCCAGGCCATCTGCATTCCTTCCCCGGGAACCAGGAGTGGAGATCCCATCTCAGGAGATCCAAAAAGGGGGGAATTTATCAAGCTCCATCTCAGGCACTTCATCTTGCAGTGCCGTGGGAGAGGCAGAGTGGCAGCTGGGGCTGGAGATGTTTGATATCAGCGCCTTCGGGATGAAATCCAGGACAGCTCCGCCAATTATTTATCATTGTCTCGCTCCTCAAACAACGTGGATAATCAGTATCTCCCTGTTAAATCTGCATGATTGATGTGCTTTTAGCATGACAGGCCAATCTTGCAGGTCGTGTGCTGCTCGTGTACACAGCCAGAGGGGATTTTAGGGAAAATGGTGTTTATTCCCGCTGGAAAATAGGGAAGGGGAAGGAGCAACATCTGCCAGGAGTGAGGGAGGAAAGGCTGGTCCTGCCAGGGTCTGGATGAGCTTTCCCGAGATGGTATCTCACGTTGGAAATGCTAAGTGCAAGTTGGCAGCCAGGATTTAGGCTGGGACGTGACTTTGTGGCTAATGCCGAGCCTGGAATGAGGATTCACCCATCCATCAGCGGGATCTGGGTGGGAAATGCTGAGAAAAAAAGTGTTGGGGTGACTGCTCTGGGGTCTGCTCGGTGGGGTTGGCAGTTCAGGGACTTTCTAAACACGGGGACCAGTTTAGGAAGGAATTGATTCCACACAGGCTGCAGAAGTTTTCCACAAATCAAGCCCCGAGGAGTTTCAAACCTCCACGCTTCAAGTGATGTTAGCAAACAAAGAAATCGCAATCCCCTGGCTCCGAGTTAGGGGATTCTTTATTAATTAATGTTCTGCCTTCCACCGGTTAATCGATTCTCTCATGTTAATTAGTCCTCAGGCTCAACCTTTCTCTTCATCTGGGGTGCTGATGCCCCTGTGCCCCAGGCTGTGGCTGGCACCAGCCATGGCACAGGTCACAGTGTGACACAGCAGGGGACAAGGTGACAACCGAGCAGGAACCCCCCGAGGATGCCATGAAAGCCCAGCTGCTCCTTTTGTGCTTTGAAGTTTCACTGCTAAGGCAGGACCCTGTTCCCAACCCCCTGCTCATTATCTGGGAGAGTTGTTAATTAATCCTGGCTCTTGATGTGGCTGCTCCTGTGACCCCCCGCTCTGCCTCACACCCCAAGCTCTGCTGTGTCCATCCTTCAGGACAGACCTGCGAGTCCAAAGCCTCATTTTCCTGCTGCAGGTATGGAAAAGAAATAAACCAAGGCGTGAAGGAGAGCTCGGGGTGGTTTTATTTCAGTTACAGGTGATTTTTCCATGAAATCCTGATAAACCAAGTCCAGAGTTTCCCTCACTTCAGTGAGGTGGGAGCATGGCTAAAGTCGATTTTTCAGCAGGAGACTGAGCAGCCACCATGGAGGGACCGGGACAGGGATGGGAACAGGGATGGGGACAGGGATGGAGACAAGGATGGAGACAGGGATGGAGACAGGGATGGGAACAGGGATGGGGACAGGGATGGAGACAGGGATGGAGACAGAGACGGGGACAGAGACGGGGACAGGGATGGAGACAGGGATGGGGACAGGGATGGGGACAGACAGAGACTGGACCCGGGGCAGGAATGGGAACAGGGACAAGGTCCGGGATCGGGATTAGGACAGACACAAGAACAGGGGCAGGGATAGGGCCCGGGAGCGGGGCAGAGACAGGGATGGGGACAGGACCAGGACCGGGACCGGGCCCCGCGCGCGCCCCCGCCCCGGGGGAAGCCCCGGCCCCGCGCACGCGCGCGCGCCCCCGCCGGCCCTCCCGCGCGCGCCCGGCCCCGCGCATGCGCAACCACCGCCCCCTCACCGCCCCCTCCCGCCCCGCCGCCGCCGCCGCGCAGGCGCCCTGAGGCCGCCCCCCCTCCCTGCGCCGGCGCATGCGCGTCGCCCCCCCTCGGCCGCGGGGAGGGGGATGCGGACGGGGGAAGATGGCGGCCTCGAACAACCCGCGGAAATTCAGCGAGAAGATCGCGCTGCACAACCAGAAGCAGGCGGAGGAGACGGCGGCCTTCGAGGAGGTCATGAAGGACCTGAGCCTGACCCGCGCGCACCGGGTGAGACTCGGCGCCGCCGCCCCCGGCTGAGGCGGCGGGGGGGGGGGGGGGGGGGGTGTGAGGGGCGGCGCCCCCCCCGCGGAGCCCCTCGGGCCGGGGGCAGCGGCGGCGGGCGGGGCGGGCAGCGCCCCCTGGCGGGGGCGGGCGGCGCCCGCGGTGGGGAGAGGCCCCCTCAGCCCCCCCCTCACGGCCCCCGTTCCCCCCCACCCCCGATTTCGCGGCACCGGGCCCGGCCCGAGCCGCCCACCGGGCCCGCAGCATCCTCCGGAGACCGACACCTGCCGCGGGGGGAGGCCCCGGGCCCGCCCGCCGGAGGGTCGGGGCAGCGGCATCACGGCACGGCCGGAACGGGCCCGGCGGGGAGGGGGCTGCGCTGGGCTGGGCTGCGGCGGGGGCACCTCCGTGTCCCCTGTGAGGGGGCTGAGGAGGGTCCCGGTTCGTCACACCGGGACAGGCCCCGGGCCGGAGGGGGATCCCGGATGCTTTGCCGGTGTCTGAGGGGAGATCCCAATTGCATCACCCCGGGACAGGCCCGGCTCTGAGCGGGGATCTCGGTTCCATCACCTCTGGACAGGCCCCGGCTCTGGAGGGATCTCATTTCCTTCACCGGGGTCTGAGGGGGTGCTGGTTCCATCCCGCTGTCCGCGCGGGGCTCCTCATCCCGGGACAGTCCCGGCTCCGAGGGGAATCCCGCTTCCTTCAGCCTCGCCTGGAGGCTTCTCCCGCTCCTCATCCCGGCCCAGGCCGGGGGCTGAGCTCGGCTCGCAGCTGAGCAGGTGTCGCGGTTTCCTCGCTGGAGTCTGCGCTGGGCTCCTGGTTCCCCAGCCCGGGGCAGCCGCAGTTTGGGGTCCCTCAGAGCCCCCCGGGGCATCCCCCGCTGCTCGGGCTGCGGACACGGAGCAGCCGCGGGCGGCAGCTGCCGGACTCGCTGCCGGTGTTGTTCCCGTTACACTCCGGTTGTCGTAGGTGCAAATTGCTGCACTTCCAAAGCCTCCCTTGGCTGGTGATGTCTCTGCAAAGCCCATCAGCAGAAATTCCCGGCATATCCAATGCGCTTTCCGGGCACGAAATGCCTTTTCTGGTTCAGATTCAGGAATGTCAGGGCTGTTCTGTTCCTGTCTCACCTGCTTGTGTCAGTGTTTTGTTTTTAACTGTTTCAAGAGAATTTACGAGCCTGCTTGTGGTGGAAGCTGTGCAAGAACTACAGAACACACAGTTGGATTTGCTGTGAAAGGTTCCCTTTTATTCCTGTGTGTCAAGAGAGGGTAAATATTTGTTTTGAATTGGTGGTGCTGTTGGATGTAAAGTAAAGGCACCTGCCTGGGAAGGTGTGAGGCTGGAGTTCTGCTCATGCTCACCTGGATGTTGGATGTTCCTGGTGGACTTAGTTGGGACCAAAGTGAGGATAATTTAGAGGTGTTTGTAGTCACTGGAATCATCTTGTGTGGCTCAGTATCCTGGGATTTTGCCTTCAGTGGTCAGTCCTTGCTGCCACTCCAGAGCCGAGTGTTCCTGAGGGAGTTCTTGGAATCTGCAATTACAGGTTGTCCTTCAGTTAACTCACAGCTTGAGCTCTCACCTTCTGCAAGAGAAGTCAGAATCCAGATTCATTTCTCCTGAATCCCATTTCAGTTTCTCCCAAATCCAAGCGCTCCTAACCCAGGTTTTGCGCTTGGAAACCCATCACACTTTCAAGAACCTGGTTTTGAGGAAAGAACCCAAGATGAATAACTTTTCTGAGCATTCTGGGTACTGAAGTGATGGAAACACTGACCAGAGAGCTGAGTAAAATGTCTCCTTTGTAGACTTTTTCTTTCAAATTCCATGATTTCATCAGGGTTTAAAATGCAGCATGAAAGCAAAAAGGGGTTAAGCACAACTTTGCTGTTTGCTCTCATTTTCATTTGGCAAGCAGCACGTTGCTGTCAGTTTGAAAACGCCTTACTCAGTTGGTGGAAGCAGCCCAAAATTTCTGTTGCCTTTTCATTATTAGTAATTGTCTTTTTTGCAATGTTTACCATCTTGTCTGCTTTATTGTTGGTTACTGCTAAGAGCAGAGGCAGAAATTCTGAACTTCCTTTCTGTCGTGGTCATCTTCCACCTATTTATGATGTTGGATCCATGTGGGATTTTTAAGTTCCGACCCAACCCCTCCTTTACTGCCCTGACCAAAATAAAGAAGAAGAAAAAAAAAAAGAAAAAATCATCAAGAAAGAATAAACTTTGTTTTCCAAAGGGTTTCCCTGTTGAGTGGAGCAGCAGAGTCCTGTTTTTCAGCTGGCACAGTGGATTTTTGGCATTTCAGCTCTGCTGGGAGGCGCAGACCTTGCGCAGAGCGGAGGTGGGTGGTCGATGGAAGCTCTGGAGCTGCTTAATTGTCTTGTGAGTGGGACCTTGGTGTTCATAATCCAGAGCTTTCTGCCAGTCCCATAGTAACAAAGTGGGTGAGAAGAGGAGAGGGGGAGTTATTTTTTTTTTTTCACCGTGACATTGACTCCTGTTTTTTGTTTGTGGCTCTCCTCCTTTCCTTTTTTTTTTTTCTCCGAGGATTGGAATTTCAGCACTGCACTGATTTCTGGGCTTGTTTACCAGGGCTTGTCTCAATTTCTCAGCCCAGGGATGCTTTGATGCAGCTGTTTACTTATCCGAGGCTGTTGCTGTCCTTTCAAATTGTAATTAACCAAAAAATTAACGTGCAGATAGTGCTGAGCCCTTCAGTATGTGACTCTTAAAATGCTGTAAAATGTAGGATTTTTAAAGACAATTTGTGACCTGCATTTTAAGAATGGTTCTTATAGGAGATTTTCTCAGGTTTCCAGGATTGCTTTTTTTTTTAATATTCACTTAAAGTCACTTAATTTTGAGGGCTTTCAGCCAGAGCTGTGTTTGAGCTCCCTCTGATGGGCCTTGCAGTCTTATCTTGGAAAAAAAAGACCCCCCCCAAACTCCAAAAAGCTTCCAGTGGTGCTGTCTCCCAGCTCTGCCTGCCCTGGAACAAACCCAGGGAATTAAACCCAGGTTAATGGTGATGTTTGGAAACATTGTGCAAAATTTCATCACCCTTTGCTTGTGTATTTCTAGGTGTTATCCAAAGCTCTGTGTGGCTTTTGTTGAGTTCCTGGAAACCATGTGAAGTAAAAAGTCAGTGTTTATATTTTAAACCTGGCTAATTTTAATACAAAATCCTGTTGTAGTGTAATTTTGTCAAGTGGAGTATGTTGTAATAGCATAGATTTGATTTTTATCTGAAATAAACTTGAGGCGAAACCCCACAGTTTGTGATGGAGTGTGTGTAAACCCACACACATCCCCTTGCCACAAAATTTGTACTTAAAAATGAGACACTCAGTGGTTTTCTGGTTCTTGTTGGCTGTGGAAGAGATCAAAATGTCTCTGTACATTCCCAGCTCAGCATTGGATGTAGATAATATGCAAAACAGTATTTAAAAGCTTAGTTAAATCAGGAATGCTAATCTGCTTTTAAAAATGAGAAACACTAATGATGATGATGATACGGAGCTTCAGTGCTTCCTGATGTCTTCAGCAGGTTTTTATTAATTAATGTGATACAAAAGAAATTCCCGATGACGTAAGAGTGGTTTTGAATGTCTTAGAGATATTAAAGAAATGCATCAAAATCAGGACTGAGCTCTCCTAGCAGAGAGATTGCTGCTTCCAGCTGGCAGCTCAGGTTAAAAGTGAGTTTCTCTCCGAACACAAATGTGAATTTTTCAAGCTCTAGAGGGTATTTTTTTCTTCATTAACTTTCCCAAAGTTTGGACCCCGAGTTTGCACATTTCCAGACCAAGAAATGAGTGGTTTGTGCTTCATCTGTGCTCACCCCCTGGTGTGATGTATTTCATTTTCTGATGAATCCCAGGATCGCTGAGGTTGGAAAAGCCCATCCCCAGCTTGTCCCCACTGAGTGCCACCTCCAGGGCTGGGGACTCCAAACTCTCCAGGATCTGAGCACCCTTTCCATACAGAAATTCCTGCTGGTGTCCAGCCTGGAAAACCTGAGGCCGTTTCCTCTTGTCCTTTGTGGAGCTTTGTGGCCATCCTGAAGCAGGAGCCCAAGCAAAGCAGGGAGTTTGGAACCCCCAGAGATGCTCCAGCTGCTGCCACCTCGGGCTGTGGCATCACAGGCTGGGTTTAATTCTTTGAAAGAATGTTTGTAAATGAGCAGGGTGAGAGGCAGAGGGGACCTGCCAGGGCACAAAGAATCTCTGTTCTTGTGCAACCCTTGGCTTCCCTCAGCCTGCCTGAGCTGTCCAAGGTAAACACGGAGCTCTGCTGTGCCATCCTGGGAAACTGCAGTGAGCAGGGCAAGGTTTCTTCTGGCAAACCCAGGCAGCTTTTGTTGGAATTTTTAATTATGTTATTTTTTTTTTAAGGAGACAATGACTTTTTTACTGATTGTCCCATCACTCCCACACAGCACAGCTGCTGCTGGACAAAGTCTCTCTGTGTGCAGTGGCCAAATCCCTGGGTGTTAATGATGTAGCAAAGCTGGGAAGGCTCTGGGAGCACGTGAGGCTGAATTGTACAACTGCTGCATTTTGGGTGTTTGGTTGTAATTCTCAGGGTGAACATGTGGGACTCAGCTCCGGCTGCTGCGCTTGGGTTTTATTTAGCATCAGCACTGGGTGGTAATTTGCATTTATAGAAGGTGCTCGTTTAGGAAGAGAATTTGTTCTCAAGGTGAGCAACAGTCGGTTTTTCCTGTTCTTTGGGGTTGATTTGGGGTTTTCCCCTTAAGCAGCAGAGGGGAGCTGAGCCTGGGGTCACATTGAAGAGGGGGAGGTGTGGATGCTGATTCTCTTGGTTTACCAGACAGAAATTGAAATTTGTGGTGCTGTCTTTATCTGTGACTGTACAAGTGACAGAGATGCCAAAGCCCTCGGGGACAGGAGGGGCTGGTGCTGTGTTAATCTGAGCTCTGTCCTGGCCAGGGGCAAACAGGATCTCTACATGAGTAAATCACCACCCCACAAAACACA